CTCCCCCTCGTCTTCTTCACCCTATGCCTCTCGCCCCTGTTCCCCCCCCCCCCCCCCCCCCTCCCCTCCCATGTTTCCTCCTTTGCAACTGAGGCTTGGGAACCTTTGAGTCGCTGCATCTTTCTTCTATTGTCTCTTCTCCTTCCCGTTGCTTTCCCCGATTGGTAGAGTGCTCTAAGATTACTCTTTGAGTGCTCCAAAGTTCCCCTGGAAAGGTGCACTCCACCAATCTACCCCCCCTCCTCTCCTCCCGCTTCGTCTGTCTTCCGTTTTCCCCTCCTCCCTTTATTCTCCTTCCCCATCCCCTCGTCACCCTTTCCCCCAATCCCCCCCCCCCCCCCCCCTTTCTCCCCTTTCCCCCAATCCTCCCCCCCTTTTTCTCCCCTTCCCCCTCTTCCCCCTCTTCCCCCCCTTCCCCCCCTTCCCACCCTTCCCACCCTTCCCCCCCTTCCCCCCCTTCCCTCCCGTTTCCTCAACCCCCACCCCCCTGCAGCTGCAACTGGCGGTGGAGGCAGGCGAGGCGGAGTTTGCGTCTTCCCTCTGCGCCCAGCACAACGTGCCCGTGCCGCCTGCCGTGCAAGGTGACAGCATGCGCGTGTGTGTGTGTGTGTGTGTGTGTGTGTGTGCGTGTGTGTGTGTGTGTGTGTGTGTGTGTGTGTGTGTGTGTGTGCAGTGGCGTGCAATGCATTGCAAGGTAAGCATGCATGTGGCTTTGAGACGTGTGAAAGCCCGCCGCGCTGCAGCATGCCACAAGAGTCAACTCAAGAGTCAACATAGCACAGTGCTCTCACCAGATCAGCTTTGCACACGTGCGAAGCTCCCCCTCCGCTTCCCATCCTCCCGCCCGCCTTACCCCTCCCCATCCACATCCCCTCCCCCTTTCCCCCTCCCCATCCACCCCCCTCCCCATCCCCCTCCCTCTCCCCCTCCCCCTTTACCCCTCCCGCTCCCCCTCCCCCTTTCCCCCTCCCCCTCCCCCTTTCCCCCTCCTCCTCCCCCTCTCCATCGCCCTCCCCCTCCCCCTCCCCTTCCGCATGTCCCACCAGGCGCATTGGCATCAGAGGCCCCAACGCCCGTCCTCTCCCTCCCCTACCTACTCCAGTGGGGGAGCAACGAGGGGCAGGGGGGGCAGCTAGTAGATTGCACTACTGAAGCGCCTCAAGCATCGCTTGTTGAAAGGCAGGGGGAGGGGGAGAAGACAAGCAAGGCGGAGAGAGGAGGGGAGGATGAGGAAGAGGAGAGGAGGAGGAGGGAAGCGATAATGATGGTTGATAGTGCAGAGAGTATTGAGCGCATGAGGGAGGTGTTGGAGGGGGTTGGGGTGGATGCAGTGGGGTTTGACTGTGAGTGGAAACCCAAGACTCAAAAGGGTGCTAAGGCCAATAAGGTGAGAGGGAGAAGAGAGGGGGGGGGAGGGGGGAGAGGGGGGAAAGAGGGGCGGGCGATGGGGAGAGAGGGGGGAGAGAGAGGGGAGAGAGGGGGGAGAGAGGGAGGGAGATGGGGAGAAAGGGGTTAATGAGGAGGGAGAATGCAAATGGGAAAGAAGGGTTGGGGGGGGGGGGGGGGGGGGGGGGGGAGAGGGAGGGGAAAAAGGGGATTTGGGATGGTGTGTGGGGATGATAAGGATAGGGTGTCCTGAAGGGCATGGGACCCCACTTGCAGTGCTACTCCTTTCCTCTCAAGTGCTCTAATCTCAAGCCCAACCCCTACTCTCCCTCCCTCGTTCCCTCCCCTCCCAGCCCCCTTCCTCCCTCCCTGCTCTCCTCGTTTTCTCTCCCCCCCCCCTCCCTCCTTTTCAATATTTAGCTTCGTCTCGAATTCATCCATTCTTCCCTTCGCTCTTTCTCCGCTCCTGCTTCCCGTTTTCGTACCCCGCCCCCTTCGTATTCCCCACACTCCCTCTCACCCCCTCTCACTCCATCTCATTCCATCTCAACCCTCTCTCTCCACCTCGCAACCCCTCTCACCGCTTCTCACCGCTTCTCACCGCTTCTCACCGCCTCTCACTCACCCCTTCTATCTCCCCCAGGTGGCCATACTCCAGCTAGCCACGCGCCGCAAAGCCTTCCTCATCGATCTCATCACCATCACCGCCTCTCCACCCCTTTCCACCGCTCTCAACTCCGTTCTCCTCCACGTCTTCACCTCACCGCACATACTCAAGCTCGGTAAGAACATCACATCACACCAAACCACCCACCGAGAGGGTTTTATTTCCACCACACTCACACGTTTGTCTCCCTGCTGCTACCTCACTGAGGTGACCTTTGCGTCACCCTAGAGCCTCTTCTCTTCTCTCCCACTCTAAAGCCGCGGGTCTCTCCAGGGAATAGCCCTTCTCATTGCTACCTTCCCCCCTCCCCCCCTCCCCTTCCTTCCCCTTCCTTCCCCTTCCCCCCCTCCTCCACCCCCCCTCCCACCCACCACCAACCAAACAGACAACATCGCAGCCAACGACCTGCGTCTGCTCGCCCGCTCCCACCACACACGTCGTCACACAATGCACCCTCAAGCCACAGTTTCCTCTCTTCCCTCCCCCATCCCCTCCCCCCCACCCCACCCCCCTTTCCCCCACCACCAACCAGCCTACGGCGCAGGCAACGACCTGCGTCTCCTCGCCCGCTCCCACCGCGCGGCCCTCCCAGCCGTGTCCACCTGCCACCCCGTGCTGGACCTCCAGCCGCTCGTCTCCCTCCTCTGGCCGCTCTCGGGCCAGGACACCCCCAAGGGGGGCCTCAAGGGCGTGGTGCGCAGCGTGTTTGGGCGGCGCATGAGTGCGCGCGTGCAGATGAGCGACTGGGAGGCGCGGCCGCTGAGTGACGCGCAGGTGGAGTATGCGGGGCTGGATGCGATGGTGCTGCCGCATATCCTCGATCGGTGTGTGGCGGTGGCCAGGAGGATTGGTGCAGAGAGCATGGTGAATGCTTGCAAGGTGCGTCTGGGAAGGGGAGAGGTGGGGAAAGGAAGGGGGAAGGGAAGGGGGAAGGGAAGGGGGAAGGGAAGGGGGAAGGGAAGGGGGAAGGGAAGGGGGAAGGGAAGGGGGAAGGGAAGGGGGAAGGAAGGGGGAAGGGAAGGGGGAAGGGAAGGGGGAAGGGAAGGGGGAAGGGAAGGGGGAAGGGAAGGGGGAAGGGAAGGGGGAAGGGAAGGGGGAAGGGAAGGGGGAAGGGAAGGGGGAAGGGAAGGGGGAAGGAAGGGGGAAGGTAGGGGGAAGGTAGGGGGAAGGGAAGGGGGAAGGGAAGGGGGAAGGAAGGGGGAAGGGAAGGGGGAAGGGAAGGGGGAAGGGAAGGGGGAAGGGAAGGGGGAAGGGAAGGGGGAAGGAAGGGGGAAGGGAAGGGGGAAGGAAGGGGGAAGGTAGGGGGAAGGTAGGGGAAGGGAAGGGAAGGGGGAAGGGAAGGGGGAAGGGAAGGGGGAAGGGAAGGGGGAAGGAAGGGGAAGGGAAGGGGGAAAGGAAGGGGGATGGGAAGGGGGATGGGAAGGGGGAAGGTAGGGGGAAGGGAAGGGGGAAGGGAAAGGGGAAAGGAAGGGGGATGGGAAGGGGGAAGGTAGGGGGAAGGTAGGGGGAAGGGAAGGGGGAAGGGAAGGGGAAAGGGAAGGGAAGGGAGCTGATGCTTTTCTCCGTGAGGTGCCTCAAAAGATTGGCTGACGGTACTCTCTGGTGTTCCTGGTAACCCTTGCTCACACCCCGTTCCCCTCTCGCCCGCCTACCCTCCGGCCTCTTTCTCGCTTCCCTCCGTTCACGTTGAAGGCGCCATGCCACCATCCCAACACGGCGATTAGAACGATGGTGAGGGCGAGGAGACCGCCTGAAAGAACCTTCCTCACACTCGCTTTTCCCTCGCGCCCTCCCCCCCAACACTCCCTCCGCCCCTCCCTTCCCCCCTTCCCTCTCCCCTCCCTCCATCCGTCCTTCTCCTCCCCCCTCCCATATCCCCTGCAGTCCTCCTTCCACGTGGACGGCTCTATCCCAGCATCCGAGGACGACGACGACGATGACAGTGACCTGTCAGATCTCGTGGGGCAGGGGCGAGTGGCAGCAGCAGCTGCAGCGGCAGGGCTTGTACCCATGGCGGGGTCGTCTCTTGAGGAGATTCTGGAGGCGACAGAGAAGCACGCCGAGGGGTGGGTGGGGCAGGAGCAGCAGCAGCAGCAGCAGCAGCAGGTGCAGGGGGAATCGGGGTTGCTGCAGGGGGAACAGGGGGAGCAGGGGAGGCAGGAGAACGAGGAGGAGACGAAGGAGGTGTGATGTATGATTCTCTGCTGCCCATGACTTAGCATCTCTCTTCTCGACCCCTCCTCTCTTCACCCCCGCCCCTTTCTCCCCACCACCCTCTTCCCTCCCTCTCTCACCCTCTCGCCTCTCTCTTCCTCAGCCTCACAGTTTATTGTCCATCCGTCCTGACCCGTCCCTCCTGCTTCTCCATTCAATCCCATATGCGCTCTCACCCTGCCCGTTCTTGTCCCTGCTCTCCCTGCTCTCCCTGCGCTCCCTGCTCTCCCTGCTCTCCCTGCTCTCCCTGCTCTCCCTGCTCCCCCTGTCATCTTCTTGTCCCTCTGCTCTTCTCAGTCCTCGTCTGCACATACCCGGTCGCCCTTCTCTCAATCTCACACCCCTCTCTGTCCCCCTTTTTTCCCTCTCTCCTCCCTTTCTCCCTCTCTCCTCCCTTTCTCCCGCTCTCCTCCCTTTCTCCCTCTCTCCTCCCTTTCACCCTCGCTTCCCCTCTTCCCTGCAGATTATGTCTACCCCCACTCCCTTCAGTGCAACCACAATGAACCTCGCCCCGACTCCAGGGAACGCCTATGCCATTTGGACCACCGACCAGGTGCAAGCAGTGTTTGCAGACCGCAATAGTGATAGAGTTAGTGGCACCAACAGTAGTGGCAGTAGTGGCAGCAGTAGTGGCAGCAGTAGTGGCAGCAGTAGTGGCAGCAGTGGCAGCAACAGCAGTAGTGGCAGCAGTAGTGGTGGCAGTAGTGGCAGCAGTAGTGGTGGCAGTAGTGGTGGCAGCAGTAGCAATAGTGGTAGCAATAGTGGTAGCAGTAGTGGCAGCAGTAGTGGCAGCAGCAGTGGCAGCAGTGGCAGCAACAGCAGTAGTGGCAGCAGCGGCAGCAGTGACAGCAATAGTTCATGTAACAGCGGTTGGGGGGATGCGAAAGGAAGAGGGGGGGGGGGGGGAGCAACAGCAGCAGCAGCACCAGCGTCACCACCACCAACAGCACCACCATCAGCAGCAGAAGCAGCAGCGTCAGGAGGAGGGGGGGGAATGGATGTTATACAGCTACTGTGTGTTGCTGTCACGCACTCTGCACCTGTGAGGCTTCTGTCCCTTGGGCTCCCCTCCCCCTCTCCACCCATAATGTGCCATCCCAAAACCCATCGCCGTACCATGCCATGCCATGCCATGTTACCCCATGATGCCATGCCATTCCATGCGGAACCATGCGAAGCAAGAGCACTCAAAGCAGAGCCACTCAGAGCGAGCCGATCAATCAATGGCATCTGCCAAAGTTTCCTGGCTGAGGGGACTCAGCCCAGCACTGTGATAGAACAGATTTGCAGTCAATTCCAAAGTAGAATCATCGTACAATACAGTACGCATGATTCGTCTCTCCTTCCTCTCCCACATTTCCCTCCTCATCCCCTCCCCAGCCCATCCCAGGGACAATCAAGTGGAAGGTACAGCAATGGCAGCAGTAGGCCAGATCCATCATCCCTGTTCATCCCTGCCCAAATAAGAACTGACTCGACCCCAAACTCACGCTTCTTCCTCCTCTCCCTCTCCTCCCTCCCCTCCCTCTCCCTCATTCCTCTCCTCCTCCCCTCCCCAGGCCATCCCAGGGACGGTCAAGTCGAAGGTACAGGAGTGGCAGCAAGCAAGGGCCCTGCCCATTCCAGCCTACTCCACTGTCAACGTCGCCTCGCACTGGCTCTGCGACGCTCTCCCTTCCATTCTGCACGTCTCTCACACGCCTATGCTGCAACCTCCCGTGAAAATGGTTCCGCCACTGGGTTTCTATAGTAGCAGCAGCGGTGATGGCAGCAGCAGCAGCGGTGATGGCAGCAGGAGTTGCAGCGGGGTGACGGTGCATCATGAGGCACAGGAGCGGGTAGCAGGGCAGAGGGCAGTGGGCGTGGAGCAGCGACAGCGCACCGTAGCAGCAGCGGCAGCAGAAGCAGCACGGGCAGGAGGAGAAGCTGGAGAAGCAGGAAAGGCAAGAGGAGCAGAAGCAGGGAGACAGAGAGAAGAAGAAGGAGGCAGGGGGTGCGTTGAGACAGCGGCAAACCCCACGGGGAAGCACGATCTGTGGTGGGGGAACGGCCCCACTGCTCCCTTCCCGTTCTTCGTGTCTCAGGTTCGCATTCAAGTCCCCAGACAGGGGGCGGCAGAGGCATCAGCAGCGACATTGCCAGAGGCATTGCCTGGGTCAGCAGCAGGGGCGTTGCTAGGGGGGAGGATGACGGAGAGCGAGGGAGATGCAGGGAAGGAGCACGTGAGGGAGCGGGAGGAGTGGGGATGGGCGCGGTTCATGGGTCTGCCAGCGGGAGCAGCAAAGGAGGCGGAGAACCGAGCGGCGTTTGCGGCACTGCAGGCACTGGTGGGGCGAGGTGAGGGCGGGAATGTGCTCCTGTGCGTGCTTGCAGTGGTGCTGCTGTGGGGTGGGGCGCATGGGGGCATGGGGTGGGGCGCATGGGGACATGGGGTGGGGCGCATGGGGGCATGGGGTGGGGCGCATGGGGGCATGGGGTGGGGCGCATGGGGGCATGGGGTGGGGCGCATGGGGGCATGGGGTGGGGCGCATGGGGGCATGGGGTGGGGCGCATGGGGGCATGGGGTGGGGCGCATGGGGGCATGGGGTGGGGCGCATGGGGGCATGGGGTGGGGCGCATGGTGTTGTTATGTCTAGTGAAGTTGTTATGTCTGTGAGTTGTAGTAGCTGAGACCAGTCTTGCAGGTACGGGTGGGGTGAGGTGAGAGACGACGTGTGCATGTGCTTGGAATGGTGTTGATGTGGGTCACAGGTTGCATGTACAGCAGGTTGCATGTACAGCAGGTTGCATGTACAGCAGGTTGCATGTACAGCAGGTTGCATGTACAGCAGGTTGCATGTACAGCAGGTTGCATGTACAGCAGGTTGCATGTACAGCAGGTTGCATGTACAGCAGGTTGCATGTACAGCAGGTTGCATGTACAGCAGGTTGCATGTACAGCAGGTTGCATGTACAGCAGGTTGCATGTACAGCAGGTTGCATGTACAGCAGGTTGCATGTACAGCAGGTTGCATGTACAGCAGGTTGCATGTACAGCAGGTTGCATGTACAGCAGGTTGCATGTACAGCAGGTTGCATGTACAGCAGGTTGCATGTACAGCAGGTTGCATGTACAGCAGGTTGCATGTACAGCAGGTTGCATGTACAGCAGGTTGCATGTACAGCAGGTTCCATGTACAGCAGGTTGCATGTACAGCAGGTTGCATGTACAGCAGGTTGCATGTACAGCAGGTTGCATGTACAGCAGGTTGCATGTACAGCAGGTTCCATGTACAGCAGGTTGCATGTACAGCAGGTTGCATGTACAGCAGGTTGCATGTACAGCAGGTTGCATGTACAGCAGGTTGCATGTACAGCAGGTTGCATGTACAGCAGGTTCCATGTACAGCAGGTTGCATGTACAGCAGGTTGCATGTACAGCAGGTTGCATGTACAGCAGGTTGCAGGACAGGACACTCTTCTCGAGAGTCTCTTTGGAATTTCGATTCTGTTTTCCTACCTTTAAATACTCCTTCCACTCCGTCCAGTCTACCCCTCTCAAGTGCACTCTGGCCTTCGTGCCGCGTGCACGAAAGCCAGAGTGACTAGTTGACAGTGCCGTGTGTTGGGGTCTTGGAAACCATTGTTTGTTCTGCAGCAGGCAGTGTTGTTGTTGAAATACCTCATTCGTGTCTCCACTTGACTGTACGCAGCAGTTAGTCCAAGTCTTTGGTCTGAAATCAGAAAACAAACTGTACAATCAGCTGTTAGTCGCCTCCTATAGCTACCCCCGTTGCCTTTGCCCTTGCTCTTGCCCTTTACCCACACGTGCTTTCCTCGTGCACCCTTCAGTCAGCACCCCATCAACCATGCCCGTCCACATGACTTCTACATCCATGCCCTACCCACCCCACTGGGGGGGCGGAGTTCTTGCCAACACGAGAATTCTAAAAGACGTTCTTAGAAACGTTTTCTGCAACATTCTCGAAACATTCTCAAACGCGTTCTCAAAACCGCCCCCCACCCACCAGAGGAGGCGGAGTTCCTGGCGTTTTCTGCGCCCACACGGCATGGCAGCTGTGGCGATTTTGCAGTCGACTCAAAAATCGTCTCATCCACATGCCCTCCATGCCAATGCCCTGCCCACCCTCCCGCCCACCAGAGGAGGCGGAGTTCCTGGCGTTTGGCGATCTGCTGCGCTCACACGGCGTGGCAGCTGTGCCGCTCCGTGCGCCGCCCAGGCTTGCTCGTACGTGCTTGATCTTCTGTGCTCGTGTGCTTCTGTGTTCTCGTGCGCATGTGCTCTTCTATTTCTGGCTCTTGTCAGAAAGCGTGTTCACGCTTTCTACTCGTGACCTTGCATCCCCTTCTTGGCTACTTCACTTCCTAGCTGCTGCTTTTTACATGGGTACAGTGTTTTCTTCTGCTTTCTCACACCTACTCATTCGTTCGTTCTTCAATTAACAAACTTAGTAGCATTTTCTCACTCATGGATTGCCGTTGCACCAACCAATTTGACTTTTGAGTTGCCACGGCCTTTCCTTGCCTCGCTGCCTCCTCCTTCCCACCTATCCCCACCCATTCCGACCTATTCCTATCTGCCTCCGCCCCACCTGCAGCGGATCTCATAATAGCCATTGTGCCAGCATCATCGACAGTCAATCTCAATGCCATTGCTGCTCATTTCAGCCTTCTTCCCAGGTACTGTTGTTGCTCAGTTCAGACTTCGGGAACGTGGAGCATGTAGCAATTGCTTGTCTTTGCTCCTCTGTCTGAAACGTTTGCGCCGCCACTCCCTCTCCCGCTCCATATCCTCCTCTTCCTTTTCCTCTCGTTTCCTTCTCTCCCTCCTCTTTATCCTCCGCTTATGCTCCAGGAGCCCTTTATTTAACGTTCTGTTCGCTCTCTTCCATCTATCATGGTAACCTATCTTTTCTTCGCCCCCAGCCTCCTTGCGGAGCGTTCGTTCCTCTCCTCCTCTTCTCCTTCCAACAGTGCCTCAAACTGCTCACTCTGTCACACTAACATTTCCTTCATCTTTTCTTTTCTTTTCTTTTCTCCACCTCTTTTTTTTTTTTCTCCCCCCCCCTTTCCTGTGGAGACGCACCTCTCCCTCCTCCACTTTCCTCTCTCCTCCCTCCACCCCTTCTCTCGCCCCCAACCCTCCTCTCGCCCCCAACCCTCCTCTCGTCCCCAACCCTCCTCTCGCTCCATTCTTCTCCATCCCTCCCTTCGCCCACCCCTTTTCAGTTCCCTCTCTCTCCCGTCCCCCTCCACTGTAAACGCTCTTACGGGATTTCCAAGTGACGCCCTGCCTCCCCTGGGATACACCCACTCAGTCACCACTCTCATTGACGCCTCCCTGCTCCTCCACCTCTCCTCTCCCTCAACGCTCTGCCCCTCCTCTCCCTCGTCTTGCTCCGTTCCTGTGAGTGCGAGTGAGCACCAGCAGCAGCAGCAGCAGCAGCAGCAGCAACCCCAGCAGCAGCAGGCTCACGAGCAGAAGGAGCAGCAGCAGCTGCAGCAAGTTGAAGCAGTGGTGATGCTGCCTGCAGGGGACCAGGATCAGTGGATGCTCATCCGACCCCACCCCCTTCTCCGCGTCACTCAGGCCATTCCCGTGCCCAACCTCGCTCTCCCGTCCTCTCCCACTCCTGCCTCCTCTCCTTCCTCTCCTTCCTCTCCTCTCTCTCCCACTCCATCTCTTCCATCTTCTCCTTCCTCTTCTTCCTCTCCTTCCTCTCTCTTCCCTGCTGCCGCTTCTCCTCCCTCAAATGCATACTCGTTTTCAAAACTTTCTCCTGATTGCCTTCCTCCTCATTCCCTTCCTCTTTCACCCTCCTCATCATCCCCCTCTTCCTTCTCCTGTTCCCCTTCTTCCTCTCCCTCCTTTCCCTCCTCTTCCCCTTCCGCTTCCCCCTTCTCTTCATCCTCTTCCTCCTCCCTCACACCCATCCCATCATGTCCACCCACTTCCTCCCATTCCCCAACATCAAACCCCCGATTCCTCCTCCATCCCTCCTCTCGACCCTCCCATTCCTCCTCCCAACCCTCGCGTTCCTCCTCCTTCCCTCTATCCTCACCAAAACCATCGTCCCCATTTTCCTTCCAAGTCTACTCTCCTCATCCCTCCTCATCTCTCACACCCATCACCACTTATCTCGCCATTCGTTCCTTCCACAGCAGCAGCAGTGGCAGTAGCGGCAGCAGTGGCAGCAGCAGCAGCAGCAGCCCTCGCTCCTTTGCCCACAAAACTCTCCTTCCTCCTCATGCTCTTCTATCTGCTTTCACCCTAGCCTTAACTCCCCTGAGACTCTCTTTCTGTGCTGCTGTTGTTGCTGCTGCAGCCGCTTCTGCCGCTACTCCTGCTCCTGCATCTGCTCTTACTGCTGCTGCTGCTGCTCTTGCGTGTGCTACTGTGGGTGCCACTGCGATTGTTGGTGCTGCTGTTGCCGCTCTATCCGACACACCACTACACATCCCCACTTTGTTCCACATGAGCCTCACTAATCCATCCTCTCAACAACCGATCAGCTTCTCAGCCCCTACACATCATCACCAAGCAACTTGCTTTGTAAACACACGACAAAGCAGGACCGTCGCGATCCGTTCAGCCTGGCTAAATCAGCGGCAGCAGCAGCGGGGTTGCAGCAGCGGTTGGTTAGCACAGGGAGCACCATCCGAGATGCAACAGCATTGGGAAACCGGATTCCGTACTAAGGGGCTGAGCCTCAGCCGTCAGGTGTCAGGGCTTTCAAAGAGTCCTTTCCACAACCTGCCGCATCAGAGTCCCAAAGGAATGGCACCCCATGAGGCGTCTCAAAGGCTGCTGAATGCGAGATCTACTGGAGCAGTGACGTGCGCTCCAAATCACAAGTTTGCCAGGAGAGGGAGATTTTTGGAGAGGTCAAAACAGTCGCAGAGGCTTCCTGGTGGAGTGGCAGTGCTGAAGCTGCCAGTCGCGTTGCTGTAGGCACGAAGAGTCAGACGAGATCTACCAGTGGAGTGTTGATTTCTGAAGCGTCTCAACAGTCGCAGCGGCTTACGGGGAGGGTGCCTGCCAGTGCTGCAGCTGAAGCTGAAGCTGAACGTGCCAGTCGCGTTGCTGTAGGCAGGGGTTGAGGCAGGCAGGGCAGGTCATATGTAGTCTGTCTGTGCTGCGTTCATGTGCTGCCTCAAGCTGACCCGAATCACACTCGCTGAAACTCCCGCTCGCACTTGCTGTAGGAAAAGGCAAGCGGTTTGAATCATATGACATGACATGACATGGCATGACATGACATGACATGACATGGCATGACATGACATGACATGACATGGCATGACATGACATGACATGACATGATGCATCTGCTGATGTGCCATGTGGGACGGGGACACTTAATTAAAGTCACTTTTGAGAATTCTCAAAAGTGGCACTATTGGAACATATCTGCTGAAGCTGCCACTACTGCTGAGGTATTCCTTGATGGGGCTGGTTCTGCCTGATATATTTTCACTGCTGTCGAAATGGCCATGTAACAAGCTGAGTGTCTGGTCCAGTGGCCTGCATGGATGACAGAGATTGACACTGTACATACGGTACATAACATACCAGTACTTGACTTTCAGTGTCCTCGTGATCTGATAGGCATAATAAAAAGCATAACATGCATACCGGTAGCAGCAACTACTTCACTGCATTATTACCAGGGTACTTGGTCTATCTAGCAGCCACAGCGAAGTGTACAGATTCAAAGTACCGTACACACACAGCCCTGAGCTTGTGTTGTGTGCTATTTTAGGGTGCAAATGCAAAGCATCGTTGTGAACAGCTGATTATGCAGTGCGGCGCACAGCCTTTGGTTGTGAGGTGATCACCAGCAAATGCGTTGCTGCTAGTACCCATCTGATAGGCGTGTGGGTAGGGGGGAGAGGGGGAGGGGAAAGACAATAGGGTTACAGGGGAGAGGGGGGGGAGGAGGAGGGTACTAATGAGGAGCAACGAGGTGATCACCAGCAGATGCGTTGCTGCTAGTACCCATCTGATAGGCGTGTCAGTGGTGCGGGAGGAAAGAGGGGAGAGGGGTGGGAGGAGCATGAGGGGAGTGGCAACCTAGGAAGGAGGGAGGGAGGGTCACTTTTGAGTGGACTCACAAGGAATGACCACCAGCCAACATTGGGGCTGGCGAAGCTGAGAAAAAATACATTTGAATCACCAGGAAAAGGGTGGGGAGAAGCAGGGAAGCGGGTGAGAGGGGGAAAGGGAGTGGGGAACGGAAGCAGAGGGGAGAGGTGCGAATGGCAGGACGGAGGAGAGTGAGAGGAGGGGACATGCAAGAGGGAACGAGCTGGAGAGAGAACGAGAGGGAACAATGATCCAAGTGACAGAGCAATGGTAGTGCAGAGATAGGGGAGATGAGATGGAGATGAGGACGAGAAGACAGATAGTGGAAGCACTGGTGGGAAAGTGACGCGTGCCAGTAGCTGTGATGTGACGGACGATGCAGTCACCTGTAGGCTACTAGTAGGAGCATGACACAGTTCAGTATTCTCTGTGACAGCAACAACAAGAAGAAGCACTTACCTATAGACCACAGGCAGCACCATTATGCAGTACAGGGCCACCTTTTTCTGCCACAGTCTGCGCAGCTCGGGCAGCTGCACAAAAACTTCTGTCACGTCCACAGTGTAGGAGCCGGCTAGAAGACTGCCCGGAGGGAAAAAGGAGAGTGGATGAGGAAAGTGGGGGCAGGATGGAGGGAAGGGGAAGTTTAAGGGGGGGGAAAAGGAGGTGTGGCAAAGTGGTGGAATTGCGGTAATGACACGTCTCAGAATGCATTGACTGCTCGCACATTGTGAAACGGCAGTTTGACTGGAGAGAGCAGCGTTACAGGCCACACACCCATGATGAACCCATCAGCAGCCCATCAACCCATCGACCCATCGACCCATCGACCCATCGACCCATCAACCCATCGACCCATCGACCCATCAACCCATCGACCCATCAACGCATCGACCCATCAACGCATCGACCCATCAACGCATCAACGAATAAACCCACCAGCCCATAACGTGTTTTATTCCAAAGCGTTTCAACAACACAGCACCAACAAAGGAAGCCCACTGCAGCCCACACCACCGCACACCACAGCACGCCACCGCACAGCACCGACCCACCATCGCGCGTGGAAGAGCAGCAAGGGCACGTTGAGAGCAAAGAGAACAAGGCCGAGCAGGGAGGGCGGGAAGAGCAGCAGCAGCAGCGCGACAGCAGCGTGTGCGAGCATGTCGGGCAGCAGGAAGCGGTTGATGGACGCCGCACTGTCGTGTGGATTGATGTAGTCGTGCTGGAGGTCCGAGAGGGTTACCAGCTGAGGGGGGGGCCGAGGGGGGGAAGTGGGAGGGAGATACGGGGAACAGAGGGAGTGGAATAGGAGAAAGGGGACAGAGTGCGGTTGGGGGTAGGAGGCTCAGGGGCAGGATTGAAAAAGGCACGGAGAGATTCTTTCCCCTTCCGCCGCCCAGCACTCACGCAGAAGATACCGACGGCGACTAGAAGCCCCGCCGCCACGAACGCGAAGCCCCACACCAGGAACGCCGCCCACGCGCCCGCGCGCCCGCCGCCGCTGCGGTCCCCGCCAGCAGCGGCGCGGCGCCAGTCATAACCCGCGCGATGCCCATCGCCCGTGATATCAGGCCCCCCGCTTCCCCCTTCCGCCTCCGCCGCCGACGCCTCTTGCGCTAGCCTGATAGCGCGCTTTCCTGCACTCGATATTTGTCCGCTCCTCTCTAGAATTCTCGCACGATCGGGATTCGCGGCTGCGGAGATCGCGGTCGCGGGAATCGCGGCGAGGCCGAGTGCTAGAAGAAGGATTAGAGTGGGGATTGACACGACGAGCGATTGTGTCTTGAGCCTGAGAGCGAGACGTGAAGGGAGCGTTAGAGGTTTCCGAGCGAAAGGGACGCGAGAGGTTAAGCAGTGGACGTGGCGGAAGAGCGCCAAGGAGACGGCCATGTGAGAACGGCGACCGCGACAAGGCGGGAGGTCTGCTTGTTAGCTCGGTCGGCCATTGAATCCGTACTTGGGAAGGCGCAGGCGAAACGGCGTTGTACTCGTTATAGCACGGCTCGCCACGGGAACCTTTGCAAGAGAAACAATTACCCATGTGTGTTTCGCCATGTGAACCTTCTAGCATTGAAGTACTAGCTTGCCTGATTACCGTATGTACATACTCATGTCAAAATGCTCAAGCTGGAGAAATGCCTGTCAATCTTCTCAACATAGTACGGTACTTGATCTCATGACACCAGCCAACTCGTTCATCTTGAACACTTTGATACAGATCCCACATCCAGTGCCCAAATTTCAGTACAACACCAATACCGGTAGCATGACACCATCATAGTCTAGCCCTAGAAGCACATGAATGTGGAGAACACAAGTGGATGGTTTCATAGCAATGTGTACTGATGCCATTGAATGAACACAGCAGACGAACCTAATACGGTGCCACGTGGTGTAGCACAGCTTCATCTCCCCCAAATATCGTTGTTTCTTAGGGAAACTCCGGGTCCAGGCTGCACGGTGACATGTCATGAATCATGAATCAAGTAGATACTGATGGAGAGGGAACAGTAAGCTTCCAGGTGGACTTCTGTCACAAATTGTTGCAGCAGCACCTGTGGTTAATTGTTCCACTGATGCAGCTTAAGGCTTATAGCCTGTGAGGGTAAACCCTCGGCCAACGATTTCGCCCACACAGAACCAGGCATACACCTCTGCAAGAAACAATGTGGCAATCCCGATCTCCTCTAGTTGCAGCTCAGCTCGGTTCGCCCACTTTTGCTTCACGATCTGCATTTCTTGCTGAGCATGCTGATACCGTTTGGGAAAGCTGCGCCAAATAAAACGCGTGAGGTTAGCAAACTGGCAAGGGGAAAACAGCGCTAAGAAAACTGGAAAGAGGCAGCCAACGACTTCAGAAAGATCGCGAGGCGCGAAAATACCTCGCCAACGTGGTGTAATAAAGCTGCTTCGAGAGCTCCTTCACCTTCTCTGGATTCCCGCCATCAACAATGTACTGCTTGTTGCTCTCAAGAAGCTGCATCGACAAGAAGGATAGCGGATTGTTGGCGACACACACAAAACAAGGAGAAAGAGCAGGATACAGGACGCGGAAAAAACTGAGGTAGTTAATCGTGATGGCCATGACGCGTACCTGCTTGTAATACGCAGATCCGTTATTACTAGCGGAGCAGAGAGCGGAGGAGACCTGACGTCTGGCAGTGTTGATAAGGTGCGCCATATTGATGGTCACTAAGCCACTTGCTAGCGGCACCCAACACTACCAGAATAAGGGAATCCAGAGAGCGACGAAGCAACTTCCTGCGACTAGTAATTCACAGCAACCCTAGAGGTGTGAAAAAGGATCTCCAGGGTGTGTGGAACAAGCAGGGCGTCCTGTCCCACAAGAACCAAGCGAGGAGGAAGGACGACCTCATGTCCCGAACCAGGCGAGCTGGGTTACCTGATACGAAGCCTGTCGGATGTAAAAGGTTACGACAAACCTTAGGTGTTATGAGTTGTTAAACAGAGTTGCGCGGAATTACGAATAACGAAGTTGTGATAATATGTGTTGAATTATATTGCATATCCTAACTGCCTACAGCTTGTTGTTAGTGTATTAGTTAGATATTAGAACCTATTGCTGGTGGTGTACCCTTTGTCTTGTCCTCCTCTTGCCTTTCCTACATCTTGTACCCTTGCCTAATATTGAAACCCTCTTTGGCCAACCTAAAACTTCTCGATACCATCTCCCTAGCTCCATCTCCCAAGCTCCTAATCTTAACATGGTATAGAGCTATTACGCTCCTAGGACCTAAATGGGCCCACCGATTCCTATTTCGCTTATGGCGTCCCTCCCTCCCGAAGCCCTACTATTGCAATCGCCCCGTCAACGCGACCGTCGCGTCGAAATTGGCGACGGTTTCGACGGGCAGCACGATCGGCCAGGCAAATGTCCCGTTGCTCGCGGCCTCGCTGCCCCCGCTCGTCGCCCTGTCGATCGCGGCCATGCTGCCCCGTCGCCGCTTCGTCGCGCCTTCGCTACGGCCCCCTGTCGCGCGCCACCACCAGTCCCCGCCCGCCCTCCCGTCAACCCCTCTGCTGCTGCTGCGGCAGCAACAACCGTCGCTGAGACGGGGGGTGGCGGGTGTGGGGGGGGGGGGTTGGGTGGTTGATGCAGGAGGTGATGCCACGCTGCTGCATCGCCGCCTCTCCTCTCTCATCTCACCCCCTGCAGCACTTGTCGCTGAAGGGGGGGGGGGTGGGGGAGAGGGAAGGGTGAGGGGGTGGCGGGAGTCCGCCATGACCAACAGCCGTCGCCTTCTCCTCCCTCTCCCTGCTGCTCCTGCAGCGGGTGGGGGTGGGGGGAAGGTTGAGGGGATGGCGTGAAATTCCAGCAGCAGTCTCCTAATTGTCCTCCTCCTTCCGCTTCACCCTCTCCTCTCCTCCAGCCGCCTCCGCCTCTCCTCCACTCTCCTCACCTCACCTCCAGCCGCCTCTCCTCTCCTCTCCTCATCTCCAGCCGCCTCCTCCTCTCTCCTCTCCTCCAGCCGCCTCTCCTCTGCTCTCCTCCCGTGTACCACCAGCTTCCTCCTATCCAGCAGTTGGTGTTTATCACCAGCATCCTACGCCCTCCGGTTTAGCCTTGCTCCTTCTCCGTGCTCCTGCTCCGTTCTGGCGTTATTCAGGTGCTGCCGGTCAGCCACCGCTGTTTCTGTGCATATCCTAGCTACAGCAACCGCTCTCCAGGCGACCTGCTGCCAGACACCACTAACTATAGCCGTAGGCAGTTACGGGGGTGTGTTGAATGATATTGCATATCCTAACTGCCTACAGCTTGTTGTTAGTGTATTAGTTAGATATTAGAACATATTGCTGGTGGTGTACCCTTTGTATTGCCCTCCTCTTGCCTTTCCTATATCTTGTACCCTTGCATAATATTGAAATCCTCTTTGGCCAACCTAAACCTTCTCGATACCATCTCCCTAGCTCCATCTCCCAAGCTCCTAATCTTAACAATATGGACGCGATACAATGAAGGACGCGAGATAATATAACGACTACCCTAGCTAGGCCGGGACATCGGGAACGCGAGTTTGGGTGCAGGTTAGGCAAGGAAAACCGAAGGCGATGTGAGGTAGCCTCGGAATCGAGGATGTCGGCCAAACGTGCATGTCCGAAAGTTATGGTTGTACGCGAAGCAGTAAACTCGTTAAGTAAAAAACGATTTTTCCTTACACTACCCCCCCCCCCCCCCCCCGCCCCCACCAGGTGGCCAATATCCGCAGCACACTTCCGAGCGAGATAATCGCGAAGCAGCGTCAAACAAGACGGATGGCACGCAGGTGTCGTCCTCAGGGCCGACGTTTCAAGTGTGTGCCTCCCTGTAAAAAAAAAAAAAAAAAAAAAAAAAAAAAAACGGGCCGACGTTTCAAATTCCAGAGTACTGGAAGCGGAAGCGCTGAAGGACCTGGTGCACCATGTGTGACAGAGTCAAGGTAATGGTGCGCCGTGCTCTGTCCCGGGTGATCTGCAAGCCAAGACAGCTGCGCAACTCACCCAGGTCTGTGCACGTGTGTCTCTTCTGCAGCTCCGACTTCACAAGGGCCAGTCCCTCAGTGTCAGCAATGGCAAAGACCAAGTCGTCGACGTACACGAGGATGTAGAACGGCGACAACGAAGTGTCGGTGCGTAGAAACAGCGACGGGTCAGCAGTCGAAGGAGCAACCCAAGAGCCGCAAGCGTCGTCCTCAGTGTGTCGTGCCACTCGCGAGGCGCCTGGCGGAGACCGTAGACTGGCCGCCGGAGGCTCCACTGGGTACCTGCAGGAAACGACCCAGTGAAGCCAGGTGGCCGGCGCAGCCAGATCTCCTCGTGCAGGCTGCCCTGTAGGAAAGCAGTGCTGAAGTCAAGAGAGTGAAGCTCGTAGTCACGCTGAGCGGCGACGTGCAGCAGAACCCGGAGAGTGGTCAATCTTCGGGGTAGGGGAGAAGGTCTGGAAGAAGTCAACTCCCTCTCGCTGACTGAAGCCTCGTGCAACGTAACGCGCCTTGAAGACAGGCGGAGAACCCGGCGGCCGCTTCACCCTGAAAATCCACATGCCACTGACGATGTTCGCCCCAGGTGGGGGAACCTCGTCGACGTAAGTGCCTGTGGACTTCCAGGATGCCATCTCTCCGTCCATGACTGTCTGCCACTGAGAGGAGTAGGGACCTTCTATCGCCTCTGCGTAAGAGCGCGGGGTCGGGATGTCTGGTGCATCCGGGTCTCCCTCAGGTGCAATCAGCATGGACACGAGATGAGGTACAGCAGCTGCAAAACACTCAAAGTCCTCCTGCCTGTCCTCAAGGACGTCCGTGCCAAGAGCACACTCACCCCCGACGGACGGAGGACAGACAGACTCAGACTCAGCAACAAGACGAGCGGCGTAGTCGAGGCGACACGCATCAGCAAAGTCAACAAGCTCAGCTAGCTAGGGCAGACGCAGCATTGGACTCAAACGAAGGGTCAGTGACAGCAGTAGCTAGAAGACGTGTGACAGTAGGACAGGCAGCACGAGCAAGGTCTGACGGCGGGTCAGGGACGTCAGGAAGAGAGGACGCAGGAGGAGACGGCAGAGGAACACGCAGTGGAACAGAGGAAGGACGAAATGCCATCTGGTGCGTGCCGGGGACAGGAGGAGGACGCTGACGCGGAACACGACGACCAGTGCGAACAGCGCGAACAGGCGACGCAGGACGAGACGCAGGCTCACGACGCTCTGTAAGACCTCCGGGCTGCTTAGTGTAAGGAGAAGGAGCAGGCAGTGGGGAGGCTGGCAGTAACTGCGGCTGTGACTGGTCAGGCGGTGGACACAGTAAGGGAGGAGTAAGGCCAGTAGAAGACGGTAGACCAAGAACCTGCTGAAGCAGTGGAACGAAGTACGGTCGCGGCCGCACAGCGCCTCCAGAACCAGCACCGACAGCACCAGCACCCCCAGGGCCAGCGTCCCCAACTCCAGGGTCTC